GTTAGTGCTGATTGTGAAGACCTCTGATGATAGCTTGTGTCCTCTCTGCGGGGTTTGCTCTGTGATAAGTGTAGCATTAGATTCTCCCTCCGTGGGTGACAACGAGAATAGCTTTTCCTCTCCTCCTCCTCCTCGGTGTTTTCAGGCGTAGCTGAGATTGAGATGAGCCGACTCCTTAGAAGTGTGATACCAAAAGGACTTCATCGACACCATCCTTAGGAAGAAAAAAACGTCACCCCTCCATTTGTTACCCAGGCACTTTCTAGCCCTGTTTCTGCCTCTTGCCTCATCAGTATCAGTCCGCTCATTACATTTTTCACCAGTTCCTGATAAGCATTTTTTTAAACCCCAGCATTGCCTGGTGAATGTGGGCCCTGGATCTGAACGACCCTAAAAATATCTCTCCTTCACTCTCCTCCACCTCCCATCAGAAGATTTTCTTCCCCATGCAGGCAGAGATCATTGGCATGTAGCTCATTAAAGTGGGGGAAAGGATCGAATGACAGTTAATCAACCCTCCCAGAGCGGCTGTCCCTGTCGTCATGCCACACTGAGCCCTGCATCACAGCCTCACAAGCAGATTTCTACCTGGGGCATCTGGGTGCCTCACTGAGACTAAGCCACATGCCATGTCTGGGTGTATCTAGGCCCAGGGCCTCTGTCGCATGTCATCCCCTTTTCTCCCTGTCTTTTCCTGTGGAACGTCTAAAGAGCAATCTTAAATTTTTAACAAAGCCAGAGGAATTCTTCCTGCATGATTTCTGCTGCAGCTGCCTGGATTAGACTTTATATCTGGGTTAGACTGTATATATGTGCTGATATTTGGCCAGTCTTTTATATAAAAGCATTTTCCTATGAATAGTTTTGGGGTGTGTCAGTTTGTCAAAGCTGTAATACCACTTGCATCACCCTGCCATACAGGAAGGCTTTACTATCTGGATTACTATCAAAAGATGTAAGAAAACAACAGTTTCCGTTAGTCTGCTAGTGCATCTCCTGTACAACAGTCAAAGTGCTTGAAAACATTAAGCTGTGAATTTACCACAACATTGCTCTGAGCAGTATATAACGTGTGTAGTATTTACTGTATCTGGTCACACCAAAGCCATCTGATAGAAGATTCTTTCTCATCTTATGGAATATTTGTAGATTCCTGCTTGTTCCACTTGCTTCTGTAACTCGGTGTGATCTCTCATTCAGCATTTCCTTCCATATGATAAGACAAATCAGCTGGCAGTTAAATGTAATGCAATTGAATGAATGAAATGGAAAATTACAAGCACCTCACATTGGTGTCACATGCTGTACTTTAGTAAATGCACTTATTTACATTCAACCATTGCTAACAAGGTTACAGAGAGTACTGGAGTGGTTACAGTCAAGAAGGAAGTAATGCTGCAAACAGTGGTTTGACACATACAGTTCAAACCATCCACTTAAACAGTGGATGTCATTTACAGTAATGTTGAGCCTGAGGATGCAGACGAGTGCTGACGTCCTGAGTTCAGATAAGACGATCTGCATCCAGAGAGCAGAACATTTGGATTTCTAAGGAGGAACCTAGCAGATGAAAGAGAGATTTAGGTTTGAACAACAATGATATCTAAGTTGCTAGAGCATTTATGCTAAGATATTTTACAGCATTAGTTTCTCATGCATTAGGTGGCTTTGATAAAGGCTAATCAGGGTTATAGTGATAATCTTAAATTAGCTAGATTGGTGGTTGCTTCTGTTTCTATTTCTATTATTCTGGTGCCAGAAACTGAACCTAATGCTCTTAACCAAGTAGATGAAATGTATCATACACAGTAGAGCTCTCACATTGCATGATACACATACTGTATGAAGCAAGCCACACCCTCTACAAAAGCTCTGTTCCAAAGCTTTGTATTTGGTTATTAGCGTAGTTGGGCATCCATTCAAATCCGGCTTTGTTACTTGTATTCACCACTCTTAATTGGTTTGTCATGTGCACGTTATCAGTACAGTAGATCTACCCACACTGTTTGATATTGTAATAGCTAGTGTTGACAAAGTGTGGTAAGGAGGTTGAATTTTAGAGTTCCATTCATAGTACAGTTAACCTTCAGAATATTGTGCTGTAGGTTTAAAGGATGATTTCATGGTTCTTTTTTGCCCTCTTTGGCTCTCCACCAAACATGTTCACTCACTCACCATTGGCCATTTCCTACTGACACAGAAACTCGCCTGCGTTTTCACTGACTTGAGGCTGAGTAGATAATAACATTTGTAATTTTATATTAACTATGTCTTTGAAGAGGTGGACTAATAACTCATATGGATTCAAAGTGGCAGGCTCTCTTGCTGAGAGTGTATTTACATAAGATGCTTTGGTTAGGCAGTTATATTCTCAGATTGCCACTAAATCTGGTGTGTGACAACATAGTTCATGTCCTGAGTGATGTGCTTCCTTGCATGGAGGTTTTCATATCGTGATACTGTAGCTTGCACAAGTTACTGTATATCAGCGTTCCTTTATGTAAGTGAACGAAGTGCTTCCATTTCACCGGGCAATCAAAACAAGCCTGATTGGTTGTCTCCAGGATGTTACTCCGGCACCGTCAAAGGAGGCTCACATGATGCTGAACCTCTCTCAGCTTCCCCATGTTGTACCACCAGGTGACTTTCGAGACATTGGGGGGGATATTGAAGTTTTTTGGCTCATTTTTTGGCATTAAACATTGAAATTGCATGTGTTCTTGTTTACTATGGAGTCACTGTTAGGTTTTGCACAAGCAAAAAAAAAAAAGAAAATCAGCTCTTTTAAGTACGTCGTCTTATTGTGTCCTCTCCTTCTGCAGTAGTTTAAGGGTACCAGTTGTTCATCTCGATGCTTCAGACTCCTAATATTCCTATAAATGGTGGGTGAAAAGGCAAATTACCTCATTTCCATTTGTGCTACATCTTTATGGAAGCCCAGCTATAGACGGGAGAGACATGATGATCATTCATTCAAATGGTTGGACCAGGCTTCACATGCTGTTTAGCAAGCCACTAAGTACACCACCAGTCAACAGTCTGGACACATTTTCCCACATGAATGGGAGAGTGTCCAAACATATGAATGTGTAAATGCACGAATATGAACATGTGTGAGCTAGGCGTAGCTGCTGCTGCTGCGCCCAGAATACCAGCCTTCAGAATCCTAATCAAAATGGGTCAAACAAGGAAAGGATGACAAAATGAAATCATTGATGTGATCATTCAAAACATGAAAATCAATCAGAAATTACTACTGAGAAACAATTCCTATACAACCTTAGTCTTTGGCTCAGACTCGCTTCATCTATTGTTCTGGATAAAAGCCAAGAAAAACAAGCCTTTTCACTGTATTATAATAAGAAGTCAGATGCTTCCAGCTTTAAGCCACAGTGCCATGACATGTAAAGATTCATTCATCCAGAATTATGGGTATAAGCCTGTGGGGGAAAAAACCCTCTATCACTGAAACCCTAGCAGGGATTAGTGTGGAAGGGTGTTTGTGCTGCTTGCTCAGCCAAGCTCATCACACTGCTCCGTCAGCAGGTTGAGCGCCGCAGGAGGCAGACTGAAGCCTGGCAGTGTATATGTGAGGCTCGAGGAATTTGTTTCTCTCTCTTTCACCTCACTGAGAGATTGACCAGTGGCACAACGAACTGAGCAGCAGCACAATCAATAGAAGAGCCGGTGGGAATTCATAATGGCGGCTGTTGACTGACCGGACGTGTTCAGCGTCTCAACGACAGCACTGGACTGCTGTTGGAGCCCGCCGTGGTCACTTCCGTTTTACACCACGAGAGTGTAGAACTCCATTTGTTTGTGGTTTCCAGTGGTTGGAATAAAATTCCCATGCATGCTGATTTTGTGCTGCAGGTTTCTCCACATTTTACACTTACTCTGGTAATCAGATGTCCAACAGCACAGCTGTTTGTGTAAACATGCTGTCCTATGAAATAAATATCACTCTCACAGATTTGGATTTTTGAAGGCAATGTGTTCGTGAGGTTATGAGAGGTTTGCATTATAGTGTGTCACTGTGACAAGGTGCAGTGTCTCCAAAACAAATGAGCATATTTCAGGCTCTCCAGAGGACAAATCTTAAAGGTCCTTCAACTTATTCCCTTTCAGTTGCTAGAGAGTCTAGTGAGACACTAAACAGAGTGACACATTTTTTGTCGCTCCCATCACATCTTGTTTCCTAGGGATGATGTAAACTGACTAACGAGTATATTTGCCAGTCTAGTAGAATGCTCTGGTTACTGCTACTGGGAAGCCAAGCACTACTGTTAGACAAAGTTAGACAAAGCACGAATTACTCTGAAATTCAAATCATATTAATTCAATACAAGGGTAAAACCCTGACCATGCTAGGTCACTAATGTTGCCAAAACAAACAGAATAGTTTTAGATGCTAACATATCCACAAGGAAGATTACCGAGGTCTAGTGAATGTGCTAAAGGCAGATGTTCACTAGCTTCTTCTATGGGGCTTTAAAGTGCATGCTTTGCTTTGTTTCTTTGCACGTTACCACCACTGGTAGTGTATAAGTGAAACAGTGTATAAAAGCAGTGTTGGGGAAGCTACTTTGAAAGCACAGCTTTGCAATCTATCAGTTACTTCACATTGGAAGAAGTTGAACTATGACAAAGCTACTCTAGGGAGAAATCTAGTTTGATTAACTAAAGCCACTTAGAAAAAGTAGTTCAAAGTACCTTATACACAAAATGACCACATTGACATTGTACACGTGATACAAAATTATATCATAATACCCAGAAAAGTCACATGCCTGCAAAAATGATCCCATCTGGGCTTTTCACAAGGAAGAGTTACGTTATGTTTTTGTTGGAAAGAAATCTGAATTTTCTATCATCTGTCTAGAACGTAAAAGGAAAGGAAAAAACAAATTTAATCTGCACCTTTTTAGACTGTTGGACCAAATTGACCAGTGGTGTAAAAACTGTTGTCTTACCTGTTTCTAACATACGACTTTTATAACCTTAACAACTGAAACAGCCTTCAACCTGCACCTTTTTAGACGGTATGAACCCGTTCCGTTCCCACGCTTTTTGTTCGCTGTGTTGACTCTCACTGAGATCACTGCTCTTGTGTTACAGCTGACCCTCTGGTGGGAAGCATCGCCACGCAGTACCTGACCAACAGAGCTGAGCATGACAGGATAGCCAAACAGTGGACCAAACGCTACGCCACATAGACCAACTCGACCCATCCAGGAACCCCACCGTGCACACACACACACACACACACACACACACACACACACTTCAAACACCTCCCCTCCTCCGAAGTCTATGGAAGCACACCCGTCCCTTTCATCCACTCTGCCCCCGCCCCTACGAAATGAACTGTTATTTGTTCCATGCTTACTTGAAAAGCTTCTTTTTTATACAAAGAGTCTATTGGGATATTATTTTCCAATACACTGAATGTTAATATGGTCATGAAAAGCTTTAATACTGTTATTGTTCTTGTCGGTGTTGTTGTTCTTATTGTTATTGCATTGTTTTTAAAAGATGCCACACTCGTCATCTTTATCTGAACGTGTGCGTGTATTATTCCCATTTCATGTGATGGTGTCATCTAAAACTGACCATACCGAGTGAGTGTATTTAGTTTGTTTTCTTCCAGTGGTTTTACAGTTCATGGTCAATATTAGTGCATGGCATCAGGATACAGTATGTGTTCATGCAGCAGACATGTAGTCATGCTATTATTTCTGTCTTGGCGGAGTTCTGGCATGGAGTGAGCCCGTCACCATGTATGACTTGTTGTAGTTTGCTGTACATTTAATGCCTTGTGAGAATACATACCCATTGAATACTCAATTAAACACTGGCTGTAATGTGACAGAGCTCATCTCAGTCCATTGTTTTTTTTCATATGAGTCTGTGATTGCACTGCCTCATCTCTCTGACCACCGCCTGTTAGAAGACAGTCATCATGGGCTTACCACAGAGAGAGCAGAACGCTGAGAAGGTGAAACATTAGTGATGCTGACGATGTTACTGTGGCGTTTATATTTTTGATTTTTTTGATCATTTTCACTTTCTCTGGTAAAAGGAATGCAGGTACCAAGTGAGACAATACATATAATTAAACAAGCTCAATTTGAGTAAGAGATCCTTAAGTTTGAAGGGTTATCAGCTGCCAAAGGATTACAGAATTAGCATTGCTATGAAATCTACCAGCAGGTGCACTTGTACATACTGGACTGACACAGTGCTTCATCGGATGGCATTAAATATTTTGCTGCACTGCATTGTGGTAGAATGTTTAACTTGGTGCAGTGGTACCACTGGCACATTAACAGGGTTCTCACTGAAGTGAATGTGGGGATTGCACTTTTTAACGCAGCACTGTCGTCTGTCTGAAGACAACCTTAAGTCTTTAGAATGGCATCTAGGCACAATGAAATACAATTGTTTGTTTGATAGTGTTGTATTTTGATCTTTACTACACCAAAATGGAAGATCCTCAAACTGCACTTCCAGGCTACAGCAATTACAGGGATATCACAATATCCCTGTTTCCTGCTTCCAGAAGAACTAGTAATGTGACGCATTGTGCTGTGTTCAGACCAACATCAGCATGTCACCTGTTTCATTTCAATTATACCACAGTGTTGGCACAGTGGGGGTGCCAACAGAGAGCTCCGGTACAAATACACAGTTGAACCAGCTTTTTCTCTACCAGTGCAACGTCCTTGGACACCTCAGTTTGCCCTTTCCAACACTCAGTCCAACATATGCTGCAGGAATCACAGGTTTGCCTCCTTTTTACCACTATTTGTAGTCATGTGATGTATGAGTTGTTGAATTAGTGATGTAGGTTTTAAGTAATCAACTGGCAACTCAGTGTGTACAGTACCATATATTTCAAACACAGGCCAAAAAGATCTAGACATGCAGGGGGATGAAAGTATTTCTTAACAGTATTAGACGATTTAGACTGCACATGTTGTGTAGTTATAAATATCCATCAACTTTTGTATTCTGCTATTTATTGCTACTAATAATTATTTGAGCAGCAATGTGATAGTGTTAGTAGAGGCAAAACACTCACTTTTTGCAGAAAGCACACAGTCTGACAGGGCCCCTGTAAATTCTGTGATTTTGCTTCTTCATTCTTTGCTGCAGATGTTGACAGAGAAACATACCCTAAACTGAAACTGTAAATAGGATTGAGATAAGGGTTTACACTAAGTGTTTTTTGAAGTATCCTGTTGGACCTTCAGCTCTGAAGAGATAAACTTGGCTTTAAATAGCACCAGAGCACTGTGTTCTATAAAGTCAAACAGTATTCAACCCCATATCTGTATTTTTATTAGTTTCTCTGCTAATTTAACCTAATAACACTCAGAATGTGTTTATAATGAAATTTAAATACCCAGAGGGAACAACTCTTCTGACTGCAAGCTCATAAATTCAGTTATAAAATCACATTTACTTAGTCTGCAGCCATGAGCGAAAATACTGAAAAGCACTACATTTCGTTTAATTGACCCCCTGCAAAGCATCAGAGACACGTCAAGCACACCTCATGCGGACAGATAGTTCAGCATTAATGTGGTGCAAGTTTTCATGAAAGTGCTGCAGATGTTAAAGCAGGGCCTGGACTGTTACCTGGGGATATGAAAGCCTGAGTGGGGCTCACATAGCCTTAGTGAAGAGGGATTCAGCTGAGCTCCCGCTGCTATTAGTGCAATAGTCTTATGTTATTAATGGACAGTGTGGGGCATCTTTAAAGTGTTGGAAGTTCCTTTTTTTTATTTTACAACAAACTTTGGGATGTCAGTCAATAAAACCTGCAAATGAGTAAAAATCCTCTTCTGGCTCCTCACACTGTCCCATCTCACCTGCCTGTTATGTTCTGTGGACTTTATCAAGAGATAACTTGTGCAGAAAAAAATATGATATTATCTAATTTGTTTGCAAAAGATTAACAATTATACGGAATATTTTAAAAGATTTGCAAATTTATCTGCCTGAACAAGATATCACAAATATCTTTTTGCACAAGTTTGCTCAAGTGATTGCCTTGTTCGAGCAACATTTCAGATTATCTTGTTACCACAAAGTAACTTGTGCCATAATTTGTTATCTTGTGCAAACATCATAACAAACTGTGCGTTCATTGTTTCTAGCACATTATAAAACTGTCAATAATACACAGTGTGTCAAGGAATGGGAAAGCTTTCATATGGAAGCTCGATATACGGGTTAAATGATGTTTACCCATTAGTTGGCCCCAAAAGAGAGTGTCAGGCCATGCCGTCATAAATCTTCAAAGCCCCACAATAAGCAACACCATTTTCCAGACCTAACCTGCCCTTAATAAAAGAACAAACCCTGTCCTGGCCTAAGCAAGGAGCAGATATGTGGCTTGACCCACAGCACCTCTGAGAACCAGGTCCGCTCAGTTGTCCTACCACTGATTTGTTTAACAAAAGAAGACTAGGCTCAACAGTGTGTTCCAATGTGCCAGAACCACCCCCCTCTTTGCCTGCACATACACACACCCAATATAACCCTTCATCTACTCAGGCCTACTGTAACACAACAGTCACTGGCCACCAAACATTTAAAATAACTCACCAGATAACTAGCCAGACTTATGCTTCCTTTTATAGTGCACCAGAAACCACCCTGTGTTAGTATTCATTCCACCAAAACCAGTCAAACCTCTACTATGCCCTCATGTTAGCTTGCTCATGCTAACACCAGGAAGAAGGCCTCAAGCCTGCTGCATGTATCAAACACTTTTATTAAGCCTGCTCTCTTATGCTAGTTTACAACATCTTAACAGGCATAATCCTCACATACAGTATGTTGCCATTTATAGATCACGTACCTATCTTTATTCTATTCACACACCTTACTTCTGCTCCAGAGCAACCCATTGGACCTTGATGCACTATCACCTTGGTTCCTAATTGCCTGTCTATTTTATGGCAAATCATTTATGGGATTTTGGTGGTGCTGTAATTTTTACCTAGCTCCAGTCTTCTCATTTGGTCATTCTATTTCTGATTCCTACATTTCACAACGTGCAGTTTGACAGCATAGGGAGAAGAAGAATGACTGTATTGCATAATGGAATGAGCTGAATACTGGTGGGTGAATAAGGTGCTAGAAAGAGAACACACAACAGAACAAACTTGTCGATGGCCCTCTCACAGCAGCTGTGTCCAGAGCAGGGGGGTGATATTTTGCTGTGGTTGTCGACCCCCGGCTGTTACAAAATCTGTAAACTGGAGCAACAACAGCAAAATTTGTTATGGTTGACACATTGGAGGGGGAAGGGGGAGTCCTCATTCTTCCTCTGCCCTTGTTTGTTTTTCCTTCCTCCTTCGCATGCTGCCAGAGGAAGAGTCTCACAGAGCAAGAGAAGTCACAGATGCATGAATAGTAGTCTAATATATTATTTGCACTGAGAGGTAAAAGATCAATATCAGTGGAAAGGCCAGGGTTGGTCTGTGAATAAACAAGCACTTGGTCTACATAATAATGTGTATTATGGAGGCATAATGTGTTGGAGTGGAACCGTGTTTGTGTGTCCACTGTGAGCTGTCAGTTTGCTCGTTAACACACACACACACACACACACACACACAAACAAACCCCTTCATATAAACAAATTACAGGTGCCTTAAGGTGGCACGTGTATTATTACATAATGTTGTTGGGGCCCCAAGTTAAAAATCTGTTTTTAAGCCCTTTACTAGGTCAGTTTATTTTATGCTTTTATGGTACATATTCCTAAAAAGATCTGTGAAACTGACTGCTTACTACTAATACAGAAAGTACTACACAGAGTACAATATTTACTACATGTAGAGCAGAAAAAACAGTGGATCAATATTAGTTCATATTAGCTGCGGATTGTCTATTTCCTCAACATCTTTTTTCTAGTAAAATTAAAAATAATAATTTTAAAAACCAACAAAAACAAACTGTCTTTATTCAGTGCTACTTTATCACTCCTATTCATCAGAAAGGAGATGGCTATTATGGAATAATGATGTTGGAGAGGAAACAAAGCCAGAGCAGGGAAATATAACAAGTTCAGTCCAAAAGTCCCAGACCAGTGAGTTATGGAAGAGAGAGGAACACTATATAATTCTTCATGGGATTAGCCTGTTTTCAAAGAATTAAAAGGAAGATGTTCCTGGTGAGGTTAATGCTCTTATAAAGATTACAAATGAATTACCATGTGTTTTGTCTCATGAAGAAATGTTAGTTCTCATTCCCCTGCCAGCTCTCCAGAAACTTCCCTTGGTAGGAGCTCCACTCAGCCCAGGGGAGTTTGCCACATGCTTGGACAATTCTAATAAAGTGCTACTTTATTGCTCTATACAGATATCATAACAACCACTTTGTTTAATGTTTATTTAACCACCAACACATTCCAGATGTCAGGATCCTTTATCAAATGGTGTAATGGTCTTTTAAACCTGTCACTCACATCTTGGTCACACTGTTTTAGTGGTGGGTAGTAACTCAGGCTACAACAGTAGCCCCATTTTATTACCTCCCAGCAACGTTGGCCAAGTAATTCACACAATGTTGTGTTTAATATGTAATGGGATTTATTTACCATCTATATATGTCTTAGACTGTATACAATTTTACCAGCAGAACTGGTTGAGAGTCTTTATGTTATAACTGTTCTTATTTAATTTGAGCAAAATCATTAGGCCACAGGCGTTTTAAATATTGTTTCTACTTAGGAGTCCTAGCCAGAGGAGAACCTAACCCTCAGCCTTCAACACTTAACATTACCAACACTGACTAACATCTGCTGCAGGGCTGCAGTAGGACAAGTGTCAAGTAACAGGCAGCTAGTGAAGATGAAAGTCAGTATTAGCCCTCCTTCAAAAAGGTCTGGTCCGTTATCGCTTCCTTTTTCAAAAACAACCGCGTTTGGCTTCAGTTAAATATAATCTGGCTCATTTTGTGTAATGTTGTAATATGTTATTACACGACTGTTTCTATTTGGCATCACCGACACGCTATCAAAAACTGAAGAAGCTGGGTGACAATGTCAGGACGTCTGTCTGCTCCTGGATCAACACTTCCGGCGAGAAGAGGCACGCGTCCAGCAGTAGCGTCAAATTCTTGTCAATTGTTAAGGATATTACCCCGGAAACTTGACAATTGAACCCTACAAAATAAAAGAGCCAACTCGCACTTCACGACTGCAGCTGTTGACCCCTGACATAGACTACACCCATGGACAGTGGCTACACGGAGAGTCACCCAACCACTGATGACACTCTAGACAAGGCCAGCGTCAATAGTTTTAGTCTGAATAAAGATATACATTTTAGAAAATTACATTTTAATTTAAAATTTCACCATGCCTCAAGCAACACTTAGGAGAACATAGAGGAGTAGGCTACACTATGAACACCACCAATAATAAAAATAACAACTATTTTTACAATCATTGTCATTGCCGTCATCATCAAAATTCATTTTATGGTACTGGCTTAAACCTGAAACTTTTTCTACAACCACGCACCATCCTGAAGTCATATGACAATGTATGACAATGCCTTCATTCATAGCGCATAAGAGGTCATTGAATGGTTTGATGCATATGGAAATTATGTAAATCATACGCTGTGGCCTTTGCAGTCACCAGATCTTAACCCAGTTAAACACTAGAGTCCAGACTTGTAGAATCAACAATAAGGTGCACTGAAGCTGGTGCACATAGTGCTCCAGCACCTTACCAAGACAAGTTATGTTGGTTTCTTCCTTTCATCTATCTGTATGTTGTTCTTGTACTTCATTTTACTTGAATGACACTGCAGTGTGTCTGCATATGACCAATTTTTCCTTCTTTGCCAACTGCCATGAAACACCAAGGGGAAGAAGCAAAATGTGGCCAATTATCTTATCGTGCTTTTAATTGCACAGTATTGACCGGAAGTGTAGTTTCTCTCCATTGTAGGTGCTTTGGTGCGTCCAGGCGGCGGAGGCACACACACACACAGGCTGTGCACGCACATACACGAAGAAAGGTACCACATACTTAATGTTTGTATTACATTGTAACGGTTTGTGTCATTTGAGTGGTTTAGGGGCTGTTGGGACTGTCAGCGGATGTGTGTTGCCTTCAGAGGAGATCTAAGGAGTCGGTCCATCCTGTGAGTGGCTGCACTGAGATCAGCTACATGTCGACGGATATAGCTTTAAAAATGCGAGGAAACCCTTGAAGCAAACTTCGTGTTGTATTTGTTTTGCATGCCATCATTTTGGTCTGACGCGTTGGAAACGGCTGACAGCGCTGTAGCCCCTCGTTGACTTGTTTAGGTGAAAGTTTCATTCGCCTGGAAATTGTTGAGATGTAGTGTTGGGGTTCCCTGCCGACTGCGACATCGCCCCGTCGATGTATTTCTGCTTTTTCATTTGGACTTACTCGAAGTCGACCGAGAGCAGGGGTCTGCTGTGCGGTCGTGTGTTGCTCCGTGCTGTCAGGCAGGACTAGGCCTTTAGCCGAACTCTTTCACCAGATGATTTCCTTTGTCGCAGCCCGACAAGGCTAAAAATAACGCCCGACTGCAAACATTAGCTCAGGTCAGAATTCAACGTTACGAACGGAGAAAACGCTCCATCGATATGCGCCATAAGTTGCGCCCATACATGCACACAGCGGCCATTTAAACTGATGGAACCAGTTTACCCGGGTCAACGTCGAGTCCAGGCCTGGTAATTAAAACGACGGAAGCGTTTATGGAGTCTTGATTGCACCGTGGGTTCGCGGCTTCACTCTTTAGCCGTTTGCGTGGCTCATAGAGAAAAACCATACGCAGATTTCCATTGGAAGTCTTTACATTCAAAGTAACGCGCTTATCGGCGGCAGTTTCCACTTAATAAAACACGAAGTGGGCTGTAGAGGAATTGGAAGGACTTGTCTTACGTTCAGCGTACAGGTGTAACACTACACTGCTGTGAGGTTAAGAAAACCTGAGGTTTGGTTCACACAACTCACTGCCATTTTAATATATTGTATAGGTAACTGCAGTTCATTGAATTATGAATGTATTGGATAAATGCAGAATTTAATTGTGCAGCCGTAAGATTTTTTTCCCACAGCTATAATAATGTGGCCTTAAGCATTGACCTGTCACAGTTTTTAAACTGACTTTATTAGAGCAGTGGCAGTTTGCATTGTGTACCTATCGAAATCTTCTGTTCCTGTTTGTTCCCTAGGCTCGGTATGTCGGATGAAGATTCCCGTGCCAGCACCAGCTCTTCCTCCTCTTCATCCTCAACTCATCAGCTGCAGCAGCAGGAGGCCAACCCCCCAAAGAAACGAGAAAGCAAAGCCAGCATGAGCAAGACCTCTAAACTCCTCTCTACTAGTGCTAAGAGGTGCTCTTACCCATGGGTAGAACAAGGAGTTTGGTGCGGGAGGGGGGACCTTTTTTGACAGCAGGAGAAAGATTGGCTGAGTTTTCAACGTGATACATTTCAATAAGTTTCAATTACTTGCTTTGATACTATGATGCTTTATAGTTTTATTTAACTGTGGCCAGAGTGAGTGATTTTAAAGGCGGCTTGTTGTTCCCAGACGTGGTTGTCTCTTTGGGGACGGTGTATCACCTTTCTTAACAGCTGAAAACAAAGTCAGGAGTTTGCCGACCCTGAAAATGACAAGGCAATCTGAATTCTAGTGCATGATTTAGAAAAGCCCTGAACAGCATCACTCAAAAATCAGACCAGTTTAGCTTTTTTTAGTTTGTGAATTTTAAAGAGAGTTCTTGACTGTCCTGTTCAACATATGACACTTCCTCAGTCACGAGGCAGGTTTCTGTAAGGTTTCATGACACTTCTGTCACAACAGTATTTTAGTTTAAATGTTAGAAACCTTGAGGATCATAGCAGATTTTGGCTCTTTTCCATCAGGTTCTGTCTGGGTTTTGGGTTTGGATTTACAGCCTTTGAGCTTAGCTTTTGACATACAGTGGGTACGGAAAGTATTCAGACCCCCTTAAATTTTTCACTCTTTGTTATATTGCAGCCATATACTAAAATCATTTAAGTTCATTTTTTTCCTCATTAATGTACACACAGCACCCCATATTGACAGAAAAACACAGAATGTATGACATTTTTGCAGATTTATTAAAAAAGAAAAACTGAAATATCACATGGTCATAAGTATTCAGACCCTTTGCTCAGTATTTAGTAGAATCACCCTTTTGAGCTAATACAGCCATGAGTCTTTTTGGGAATGATGCAACAAGTTTTTCACACCTGCATTTGGGGAAAATTTGAAGGGGGTTGAATACTTTCTGTACCCACTGTATGCCTTCTGTTTGCCTCCGCAGAATACAGAAAGAATTGGCTGACATTACACTGGACCCACCACCAAACTGCAGGTAAGTGAATCAATGTGTACTGTCACCTTATTAGAAACATCTGAATTGGTGTGTGTGTGTGTGTGTGTGTGTTTCAGTGGCAGTTGTTTATATTTAGCCTGTTATGTGCACATAATGCAAGTAGTCTTTCATGTAGGCATCTTGAATGCAAAGGCTGTGAAGCCCCCTCTTACTCTGTGTGCCGGAAAAGAAAAAAGCTATTTTTGCCTTGCGTGTCTAGTCAGTAAAAAGAGGAAAAATATTAAGGTAGTGAGACTGAATTGTCTGCTTCATAAAGCTAAAGCTGCTTTCTGTTTTCCGGTCTTTCGATTTTTCAGGGCATGATAGATGGAATACAAGGCTCACCATTCATCACTTACTTTCTTAGAAGTCAGAGCTAATATTGCTTTATATAGCTCTTTTCACTGTTTATTCACAGTCTGGTTTGCTTCTTCTTTTAACAAATAGTTCTGACAAAACTGAGCCATTGTTAGACTGTTTTATTAGGTCCAAATGTTTTTAATAAGAAAAATAATACAACAATTAGAGATGATTGGGCTTTTGTTTTGGTTAGATGAAGAAGTATGAAAGTATACTAACATAAAAGACACAGTCTCAGTGAGGTGCTAAGCCACGACGTGCCACCACAACAGCTTCAGTGCTTGATGAACACCATTCTTTCAAAAGATGTTCCCTCGTGGTGGTGTGATGACGGTGGTGGTCTGACACAGTCCAAAGTCTTCCATAGGTGTTCAGCTGGGTTGAGATCTGACTGTAAAGGCCACACCATATGATTCACATCATTTTCATACCCCTCAAACCATTCTGTGATCACGTGTGCTCTGTGGATGGGAACATTGTCCTCCTGGAAGGGACCACTCATGCAGGCAGGAGGCAGGACATGATGTGGTTGTGTAGCCAGTTTGTAATTTGGTCATAAACAACTGAGTCTCTTGCTGTACCTCAAATTTGTCTGATAATTTCAACACCGTCTCTCAACAATAATAGTTCCAAAATCCTGTCATGTCTGCAGTCGGATATTTTCACTGGTGTCTTCACCACTTCACTTCTTTTTCACCAGGGGATGTTTGTATTTTTCTGGTTTTGCATCACTCGCGTGATAAAATGTCGTGCACTAGCTCTGCACAGGGCTTTAGCGTGTGCTAACAGGCTGCAGGAGGTGACAGGCTTAGTGTGCAGCAAATTTACTCAACTATGCTAATCAGTGTTCTGTGAGTTGGATAAACACCAAAAAAAGAAACTTGCCTGTTGTCTGGTTAATGTGCTCTGTGCCTTATGGTGTCTGGAGTGGGTTTTATCAAAGAAGAAACACCACTTTATAAAATCAACTACAGATGCATCAGTGCCGATACAGCATCGGGTCCAATACCACCCTCTAGTTCTTCTCGTTCTTGTAAAAGTTGTCCTACCGGTGTCAGCGTTACATTAACCTCATGCTGGCTGAGCCGGTCATTAGGCAGCAGAGAATAATTTTCAGCGGTTCGGGAATATTTTAAGATAAGCAGGGACAGCAGAAGTAAAGCTGTCTGCAAGCTCAGCTTCTCTGTTTTGTGTGCGTGTGCGCGCACCCCTTCCTCCCCGTTCAGTGCAGACTCACAGACATGAGGTTGCATTTTACACAGACATAAACACTTGATAGGTGCAACAAAACCAACAGTAATGGAGAGAGTAATTAAGAAACAGAACAACAACAAATTTGCAGAATGCCCCTCCCTCCACACCTCACACAGACATGCAGGCAAGAGGTTGCATTTTACACTGACGTCAACAATCAATATGTGCAACAAAGCCAACAGCAATAGAGTAATTAAATTAGCAACTTTTGAAGAAACAGAACAACAACAACAAACTTTCAGAAATGTGATGTCTCCACTGTCCCTGTGGTCAAAATGCCTGGTCCCATTCATTCCACTAAATCCACCCCAGTACTCATTTTGCTGGTTGTAGTAAACAGGAAGAAAACAAATGCTAACTTTGTGTAGTTAACAGACGTCTAATGAGCTCTGTGTATGAAAGTGTGTTGAATCCTTCTGAACTTGGAGGCTGAGACCAGCAGCTACTCTGCAGCAGAGCAGGTTTGTGTCCAGCAGAAAGGAGAGAGTGAGGCCACAAACAGTAGCCAGCTTAACATAATGTAGCCTTGTTAAATTAAACATTTAAATTGCCAAACGTGATAATATGAGCTCCTAAACTGTGACGTTTTGGTCACTGAGTTGTGAAATCCTTACATCCTAACACAGGGTCGCACTGCCAGAGGTTAAAATCCACTGTATCACAATATGCTGGGTAGCAGGTTACAGACAGTCAGTTACATGTTATTCAGTAGGAATGGTGGCAGTGCTGTGTTTGTTATCACAGGAAGTTTTCAGGTAATTTGCACAGCCTCCTGTTACATAGGATACTCTATTTAATCACTATCAGAAAGTCAATCCAATGAAATGTAACAGTTTCTACTATAAAAACTACAATTACCATAGAAGTGCAGTGATTTTAGAGACATTCTATCATTAAGTACTTGGTATCGGTGAATACTCAAATAGAAGTACTCGTACTTAAAAAGTGGTATCAGTGCATTCCTAAAATTGCCACTTGGATGTCTTTTTGCTGTTTAAAGACACTGAGAGGTGTGCTTTGCTCTATGTTAACAAATTTGTTGATCACCTTGTGTCTGTTTCTGACAGGTTTAATAAGCGGATGGCTTTCTAGAGGGCAGGTGTGAATGACAGGCCTGTTAATCATATGTATCATGAACATCACCACCTTAAGAACTCTGATTTGTACCTCCAGGAATCGGTTCTGTGAAGCAGCTCCTGTCCCTGTGTTAAGCTAATGTTAATCTTGGTATTAGCATTAGCTTAAGCAGCAAAGTGCAGAGCACTCATTAGGGTTTGTTGGTCATGAAGTTTTTCCATTAACACTAACTGGTATAACCCCACATTTAAGTTATATTTGAATAATATTTGGTGATAATAAATTCAAATACAGTTTGTCTTCCTAAAGAAAACTCTCCATGTTTACCTAAGAGTTGACTTTTGTCTGACTGACTGGTTTTAAAGAGAGAAGCCTGTAAGGTCCTCACCAGCAACAAGCTGTATTATTTTATCTGGCTGTATTTGTGTAAGATAAAATTGTGATTGTTTGAGACAAACAGACCTGCACTTACTAGGCCTTTTTCACAGCAGAAATTTTAAGATGCTAGGAACAGGTACAAGTGTAAGTAATAAGATGAATGATAGCTGAATTCCATTTAGCTGCTTCAGTTGCCGGGTCCTAACATTTGCCATCCTAGCTCACTGTCATGGTTTAGTGGGACTTGTAAATAGAACAGAGTCATTGTGAATGTAATTGCTGTAGTAATGCTTGTGCTGTTCCTGCTATGCCAAGTCCCAAGTCTGCTGTGAAAAAGGCCTATTGCAGTATTACCAAAATCACAATTTGATATTGTTCCTCAAATCAGTCTGCCCTAGGCCTTGCTTGTAAGTTAAGGTTCATAGAGTGGAGCACAAAAGGACCTCAGTATTGACACATTCAGGCCCAGGTTAGTGTACCTAGTGAGGGCTAATAAAAACTATGACACAACTTTTTGTTGGCATTCTTTTTGAGGGCTAATAAAAACTATGACACAACGTTTTGTTGGCATTCTTTTTTTTCTTTTTTCTTTCAGACAAGCTTGGCAGGTTTAGACACGTGTCATGAAAGAGGATTGTCACCATGTGTTACACTTGCTCGAGCTGCTACAAGATTAACGTGCTGTACGCTGCAGATTTGTTTTTCACGGTACATCTGAGAGACGGAATCTGTTCTGGTGAGCATTATGAATCCGCTGTTTGTAATGCAGACCAGGGTGGGATAAATTCCAGTGTGGCATTTAAGCAAAGCCTTTGCACTCTTGTATTGACACACCCTTACTACAGTAAGAACCGTAAACTGTATTTAAAAACGTATGACGTGCCACTATGTAAAATTGAAGCCAAAACATCGGGGGAAACGGGTGGCCATGTTGCTTGTGGTTGCATTTTGCAACCAGATGATGTGCGCTAGTGCCCAGAGGTGGAGCTGAGGCATCAAGCCGCAATTCAAAACTGTCTAGTCTTTCCAAATGAACCCCTTTTTTAAACCATCAAATAACTTATGATGAACAAACTTATAAGAAAAGTTACCACTTGTACACAAATCATTGTGATAATATCTATCTAGATTAACAAATCACCTTTGGAAAAATATACTTTACTCATGTACCATCCCCTAACATGGATGAGGTATGATTTATGACCTATACTGCAACCAGCCATCAAGTCGCAGTGGCTTGATTTCTGGGAGCTGTCACGTCATCCATCCGTACAGTCTGAGAGTAACATGATCAGAGGAAGGAAATAAGGTTCAGGAATACCTGAATGCCTTTTTGAAGCCATTTCTAACAGCTCAGGTATCATGAGGTGATGACAGGTCTGTTGTTGGTTGTTGGCAATGAAGTGGGCGAGGTGTGTGTATGAACTACATGTCATAATGTCTAGACCTTAAAGGCAAGATGATTGCATGGCAGGAAGCTCAAAACCACAAGTTACACAGCTGAGACCCAGAACAGGCATTTAGACTCTGGCCACAGAGGAGCTTCAGGCTTCACCAAGAGCTGTTTCATTCATCACTTCTCAGTCTGTGTGTCTGTCATGTCAACTTTAGGAGAATGAGCACTGTAGCTGTACCCCCAATCCCCCTGTATTGTTGTGGATTAACTCTTTACACTGAGGCCCGTTCTTTACTGTGATAGCTCAGTGAGAACACGTTTGATGAATGCAGCATGGTTGACAGATTTTGTTGCCTTATAGAAGGGACATTGTGATCCTTTGGCTTTAAAATATGAAGCTAAGTGGTAGGAATACAAGACGTGGCGAGGGTTAAAGCCCTGGTTAAGCATTTTGGGCAAGACCAAATCAAGTCTCAGGTCAGTCGAGACAAATTCAAGCAGTTTCAAGTCGGTCAAGACCTGCCCGACTCAAGTT